AACAATACCTCTGAATAAAATTAACAATAAAACAAGCAACAACAAGTAACTTAAAAAAGTAGGAAAAAATAGGTGTAACATTAAAGGTAAAAATGTAAAAAATAATCATGTAAAGACAAAAAAATTTTTAAAAATGTACAATTTCTTCTCATAAATACTCTTAAAAGATATGTAATTCAACATTGTCTCAAGAATATGTACAAATAGAAAATTCGTATGCAGCATAGTTCAGTAAACTCAATATTTGTTCAGTAAATACCAATGTTAGACTGCATATAATCTGTGCTGATATTTTGTTTAACAAATGTTGCTTCATTAGAGCTAGTGCACATTTTATGTTCAGTAATGTAGCTAATGGATTTTTTTCCACCATAGTTCAATGTGCACTTAAAAACAGGTTTCTCAAACTCAGAACAATGTGTATCTTTTTTGAATTGTACAGTACATATATAGTATGTGTTTGGAAAATAAACATAATTTGCACATATATTATTTTGAACCAGCTAATGTACAGTACATGGTGATGCTCAAGTTATCTTAAAAAAACATCAAACAGGTTTGAAAGCTTGGTTTTTGTTAAATGTTGATATTTGTGATAGTTGATGACTAGATCTACATTGAATAATTGATTCTGTTGTAGCATTAGAAATTTCATTATTGTCCTTTTGATCCTATCTTAATAAAATGAATTTTTTATACTATCTTTGTATAGACTTATTCCATCATACTTTACAGAAGTATTCATGAAAGTTAAAAAATCTCTCAACTGATGAAGAAAGTAATTCTAAGTAGAGCAATCAGCTGTAAAATAATTTAAAATGATATATTTCAAGAGTCATTTAAAGAAACATAGAAAGTAGATGGGAAATAATAATGTGACAATGCCAAAGGGCCTCCCTATACTTCGGCACCATGGGACCGAAGGGTCAACATTGCGTTGGCGAAGATCGCAATGACAAGGTCCGTTAGGACTGACACCACGGTGTCTTTACAGACAAACACAGAAACCGTTGTGTTCGCACGAACGATCTTGTGTGTGAGAGAATGGATTCGGGATGGAGGGAGAGACAGTGCACCGAAAGTGACTTACGCAGAGACAGGTTAACGTAACAACTATTTAATGGGTAATTATAGGCCATACAGGACATATAATATATCGATCTTAACAATACTAGATTTTATATTCATGGGGTTTGAGGTTATTAGATATATATACGATTTTAACATTAATGTTCCACAGTTCCTGAGAGAGAGAGTTTACAATAAATACGCGTGGCGATAAATACCTTTTATGATATCTTGATTGAGATTCTCGACTTGGGGTTGAGATTAGGATCTTGAGAGTGAGGATTTAGATCGTTGGACTGGTCTGGATCAAGAAAGTTCCTCTAAGCACAGTGGAAAGTAATGGGAAAAATCTGACAGAGTACTGATTGAGCACAGAAATTGCCACTGACACACACAAAAATTTTGATGACTTTAATCCGAGAGTGAAGGGCGACGACTGCATCACTTTGTTGTTCTGTTCTAATGTTGTACTGTTGAAATCGAGATATTAGGTTGAAAGGTGATGAGAAAGCATTGTTACCAGGCCTGAGAACTTAACAGATATTTTGCTCCCAGGTGTAAAAGTTGACAGTTATTTAACGAAAGTATAACTACGATGTGATATTAGGAGATAATGATATAAACATACTGCAAGTCTGGATTCGGATCCTCACAATAAGATTTTTTAAAGACATTTAAAAAATCTTATTGTGAGGATCCGAATCCAGATTTCAAGTATCATTAAAATCTTTCAAGACATTTATTCCTCATTAGGATGTAAGAACCCTAAATTATATATTTTGTTAGTGCTATGTGAAGAAAGAAAAAAATGTGCACAAAAATGTAAATGAAAATGTACACAAATGTAAATGAGTGTGAGGTGCAGTACAGTCTCATAAGGAACTCTTTACCCTGCCCCGCCTATTGGCACCACAGGGTTTAAAGAGACTATGCCTTGTTCATCGACTGGTCGGTACCTGACTCGGTAGACAGGGACGTCATAGTTGGGCCCTATGATGCATCATTCGGACTCCCGTCCGCACCCCGGCCCAACTCACTAACTTGGCATAACTTTTGTTTGTGCAGCCTGTACTGCACTATTGGTCCACATAACTAAACCTTTAATAGCTCACACAATAATGTAGGAAACACAGACAGAACCTACATGTAGTAGGTATACGGACAGCGGGGCCCTGACTCCAGGTGGAGGGGGCCCAAGTAAGCCAACTATAGCTTATAGATCAATAAGATCTATGATTTCTCCCATTAATTCTTTTAGTTTCTTTAGGTTCCCTTTACTAGCTGCTAGCGTTCGAAGTACTTGTTCAGGGGGCTTGGACCAGTCAACTTGGTCTGCCCCTAGGCGGAAGTCCCTTGTTAGGGGACAGTCAAGTACATAATGCCTCGCGTCGCCGCGAGGACTACCACAGGGGCAGCTACCATCTCCTTGTCCAAATTTGGACTTGAAGTGGGGGAACCTCCCGTGGCCAGTTAGGATTTGAGTCGACAACGAGCAACAACTTATCGGAGTGAGGCCAACTACAGGCACGAAGGCGTAGGTTGACCTACCTACTGTACTAAGAGTCCAGCGTTCTCGCCAGCTTATCATCGATCGTTGCAGTAAGGTACCTTTTATGTATGTAGTCGAGGGATCTACCGTCCTCGTAACAAATGGGCCACTGGCTCCCGCCTTTGCCAGCTGATCGGCCCGTTCGTTGCCCAGGACGCCGGTGTG